CATGAATTACTTTATTATGCAAATAATTATTCACTATAATTTCTCAGTCTCAGAGTCATTTAAGTGGTAGGAGCAATAGCTATGTGCATTAAAAATCCAGAGCTTTACAACTAAAAGAAATATGCCTAGCATCATTTCGTTTTTTTGACCAACCTCATGGTCAATAAGTCAACAGTCATGTTAACTAGCATTCATCTCATGTTGATATCTCTCATTCACTTCATATCATCACATATGTTAACTAGTTTGGAAGTAAACATTTCCTCTGATTTACAACTACATGATTGATCCTTTCACTCCTTTTTTATTTATATTTATCTTCGAGTCCCAGTGTAAACTTCAGCACGCTGGGATGTAGGTATATTCAGATGACGCATCCCAAATGGGACGTTATTGTAAATCTTGAATTACACTGTTGGCTATAATCCATCTATCCTGTAAAATATGTATCAATACGAATATATCAAGTCCATTCACATAGGATACTCATATGTCAATTAAGATTGATCAAATTCAACCCAGAGTATTAACAACGGAATAATTCGAACCATTACAAACTAAGCTATGCTCTATAGTTTAGCTTATTAGTAACCATAATACTGATAAGATTTGACAATGAAGAGAACTTTCTACAATCATTCTGTTTGATCTGTTATATAATCCTTACTTTCATTATCTATCAAACCTTTCATTAGTTTCGTATTTCAAATGAATTGATTATCTAATCGGATTGTAGCTGATGAAGTTATTAATTTCTTATTCTAGTTATATCTGTATTTACAATGACGCTTTTCAATGACTATTTGGGAAAGCCTTGAATATTTCTTAAATGTTCATTTTAAGAAATATAGATTCATTGTGTTAAATGTTTATAGGCATATGGATTTAATTTCATTGCTTCAGATCATGAATCAATTGAAGCTAGATCACCATGGAAAACGTGGAAGCACTGAGCTGCCTGTTCAATTACTATAATATCCACAAAAAAACCCTTCTGATATAAAATGTATTTAACAACAACTATGAAGTATTACTGTAAATGTAGGCTTTCAAAAATCATCTCATAGACTGGAAGAAATTGAACAATTTTTCTTGTGCAATAATACTAGTCGATGAAGTTGAACATGAAGTCACTCATTGAAAAGTAAACTTCACTTCTTTCAAAACCTTAATGTTCTATTATCGAACTTGGTGAAGATAGTGTAGATCACCAATGTAGATGATCTATGTCGAAATGATTGGAGGCCTACTCGAGTTAGACGGGAATGGTGTGACGAACAAACTAACGTCGAAGTCACAGCTCGTGGTCAGCACCTTACGTGAACTACCCGATTGCCATATCAAGGTGCTATAGATTCTTTGAAGACTGTACAACACAGGACATTATTAAAGAAATATATTAGTTAAAGTAGATACAAGTGATACAAGACCACTGCCGCATGGGCCAGTCCATGACATACGATTAACTGATGCGCGTTGGTTATCCTTGACCTTGACGAGGATCGATGATTTGTTCGATCTTCAAGGACCCAAATGCCGGATGATTTGGCTAGGGTTTAGAGTTTCAATTGGTAGTTAAAGGAAAATCAGTCAATAATACTAATAGAATGTTTTAAATATATAATTAATATAAATTATGCTTTATTTATTCATTTAATTAGTTTGTAGGTGTCATTACCGAGGTTTGATTTGATAATTTTGAATAAACTGAGCATTGGGTTGATTGTTATAAATAAAAATAATATATTTGTAATATCCCAATGAGTAGAAAATTGGATTTTCTGATGTTTCGTGACTTAGTGTAAGTCACTTCTTCAGAGAATAAATAACCAAAATAGTTAGTCTAAGTTTACATAGTACAAAGGAACAATGCTAGAATATTACATGTGATCAATCAAAAAACAGGTCTGAATAAATCAGTATCATGCCATTTCGGTCAAGGTGATTCATAAGTGATATGTATGTAAATTTGTGTGTATGTATGTATGTGTGCATTGTTTAAGAATGAACACTTGTGTGACCTTTATGGTAAGAAAGGATAGAGTTTAATTTGTAAGTTCATAGTGTTAATTGTGAATAACATCAGACTAGGTGGCTAGGATAGATAGTCCAAGTAGGATGTATGACAAGACCTTTCTTTCTATTGAGAGAAGTAGGATTAAGCATTATATGGAACGCCTCAGCTACCCTCCTTTCTTTGTAGTTGGAAAAGCCTTTTTGCAATATTTTGATATTTTCAAAATCGATTTGGTGGTTGTTGAAAATGGCATGAACTGCTATTGCCGATTTAATTTGAAGTTGGCTCAATTCTACAGGATTGTTAGGAGGTTTCTTTATGTACCTAATATGTTCTTTGGCTCTAGTCATGATTTCGCGGGATAACTCTCCAATATAGTAGGCATCACAATCGATACAACCTAATTTGTAGACGCAGTTCTGTGTGGACATGAACGGGATTTTGTCTTTCAGGCGAACCAAAGTATTACGTAGTGTGTCTGTTGTTTTGTAATACACTTTGATTCTGTGATGTTTTAAGATTCTTTGGATTTCTTCTGTTGTACCATGACGGTATGGTAGAACTACAGTACCAATCCATGGCATTTCATTCGAATCATTATTATAATGTAATAAACTGTTTTGTTTTAATATGCTTCTAATAATCTTCATAGGAAAACTATTAAATTGTAAGGTACTAATTATATTCATTTGTTCTTTTTGTTTGTCTTCCTCCGATGTGATGATCTTGTTAGCTCTTCTAAAAAGATTTAAAGCTAGCGAGATCTTTGCACTGAAAGGATGTGCTGAATGGAAGTCAATATAACGATTTGAATGCGTCGGTTTTCGGTAAATGGATAGGTTTTGACTTCCATTTGGATTTCTTTTTACTAAGCAATCCAAGAATGGTAGCTCACCATGTTCATTTTCATTCTCGTTCAGGAATTTGATGTGAGATGAAAGTGTATTTATCCGTTTTGAAAATGATCTTAGATGAATCTTTTTTGTCACAACAAATGTATCATCTACGTATCTTAGCCAAATTCGTGGTATAATGTTGTGGGCGAAGATATTTGATTCTATGTATGCCATGAAAAGGTTGGCTACAATCGGGGACACGGGGGATCCCATCGCTACACCGTTAGTTTGTTTGAATAACATACCGTTAAAAGTAAACAGCGTTGAATTTAAGCAAGGTTTTAAGGATTTCATGATTACACTGATGCTCAACGGACATCTGTCAGAAAGAGTATTGTCGTTCTCAAGTAAACCCTTAATGAATTCTAAGCATTTATCAATGGGAACACTTGTGTATAAAGAAACAACATCAAAGCTTACCATGATTTCATTCTTCTCGATGATTAATCCGGATAATTTTGATTTCAAGTCATATGTGTCTTTAATTATATTATGTAAGTTGAGTTGTAGTGGTTTTAATATATTGCTTAAATATTTTGATAATGCATATGTTGGGGTATTTGTGAAGTCTACTATCGGTCTTAGAGGAATATCTGGTTTATGAATTTTTGGTAAGCCATAAAACCGTGAGACATTACATGATTTGGGATGCAACGCAAACCAAAGCGAGACCCCAATGATCGGCTTTAGCTCATTCAGAAGTTGATTTGTTTCTAATTTGACTTTATTCTTAATCGTTAGAGAAGTTTTTGGATTGATCTTTTCATAAGGTCCTGTTGAGAGATGTTCAAGAGCTTCATTAATATAATCTGTTTTATTCATGATTACTGTTGTGTTGCCTTTGTCGGCTTTTGTGATTAATAATCGTTTTATCAGAATGTTTTGTGGAGATTTTTTTAGAAATTTTCACAGATTGAACTCATGAGTCAGTTGAAGCTAGACCACTATTGAAAACCTGGAAGCACTGGACGGCCGTTTCGTCCTAGTATGGGACTCCTCAGGAGTGCGCATCCACGATCCCGCACCACCCGGGGCTCGAACCCAGGACCTACTGGCTTCGCGCGCGAGCACTTAACCATTAGACCACTGAGCCGGCATCCAACGGTGTTAATGTCTAACTTCAACCAATCCACGAAGTTGCGCTACCGTACACCATTGTCTTCAGTGAGTTCCTATCTCACAACAGACCTGGTTGAACTCCACTGGTAACGACTTCTCACTAGAACTCCAGAAGTGTCTCCTGAAGTCAGTCACTAGTGCTTCCAGGTTTTCAATGGTGGTCTAGCTTCAACTGACTCATGAGTTCAATCTGTGAAAATAATCGTTTTGTCTTTTTTAAGTGAATGCAGAGCCTTTAATTCTTCTTTTGAAATGTTTGGTGTATTGTGTTTTTGTTTTGTCAGAATATGGGATGTCTTTTGACGTAGTAAATGCGACTCTTTTTCAGGTAGTTGTGCGATCATTGGTTCTATAATTGGAGCAATTTCAAGAGTGCTAAGTGGTTTTCTGTGTAAATTGAAATTTAATCCCTTCTCTAGTAGAGTGATTTCGTGACTGTTTAAGTTTCTGTTAGAGAGATTATGAACAGTTCTTCTTAGATCATTCGAATTGTATTTTATTGTTAATGTTTTCTTATCTTTCTTCTTTTCTTTGATGTTTTCGAATTTTTTAATTTGTCGGTGTTTCGATGAATTTAAATAGTGGCGTTCTCTTTCTATAAACAGGTTGGATATCGTGGTTTGTAATTCGGTCGGGATTAAAAGCTTCAGTAAATCATCAAGGTTTTTGATTCGTTCACGATATTTTTCTAGTAAATGTGTGCATTTGTAAATGCGTTCTCGTAAGAATATTCGAGACGCGTGTTGCGAAGTCTGGATTGATCTCCAGGACCGTTCTGGAGGTTTTATAACAAGAGATTTAGGGATAATGTTGTCTTGAACATCTCTCAACAGGATCTTATGAAAAGATCAATCCAAAAACTCTGAAGAAGTGACTTACGCTAAGTCACGAAACGTCAGAAAATCCAATTTTCTACTCATTGGGATATTACAAATATATTATTTTCATTTATTCATTTAATTGTTTAGGTACTCAATGGATTTGAACCATCTCATACACATCATCGTCAATGTTTAATACCTTTCATGGAAAGGAAAAAATTAATGCAACAATCAATTAGTAACAATAATTGTAATTGTAATCGCCATGATGCTACATCTCGATGGAATAAAGCACGATGTGTTTTAATAGAACAACGTGAAAAATCAATTGCCAATTTAATAGCCCCTAAAATTGATGGACGAATTAAAATGATTATGTCATAAATATTATGTTATTTGAGTAATTATTATCATTAATAAATGTTACATAAACATTGTTTCTTTAATTTTAAATCATAGTTGGTTAAGTGCCTGGCGCGAGAATAATAAGTCCTGGGTTCGGATTTCGCGGGGTGCGGGATTGTGGACGCGCACTGCCAGGGAGGAGTCCCATACTAGGACGAAACGTCCGTCCAGTGCTTCCAGAGTTTCCATGGTGGTCTAGGTTCAAATGACTCATGATTTCAACCATTGAAGTTTCTAAAATCTCCACAAAACCCCTTCTGACAAATTTGATTGATTATAGTTTTCCAGTTTACCCAATATGAATTGTGAATAATCTTACTAAAAACAAAACCTAGTTTGAATCTACATAGAAACTGAAGCATAAGAGAAAAGGCGCGATTTGTAAAACTAAAGATTGATGATAAGGATTTATTTAACTGATAGATAATTCCCATTTAAACATTAGTCATTAAAGATGTGAACTTCAGTGAAGGGATCTCTTTTCAACGAATTTATTATGAAGCTGTACAATCGTCTATATATGAAATTTTTGTTTGTTTGTTAAACTACTAATTCCGTAAGGAGATGTGAATACGAATAACCAAAATGATGTAATAGAAAGATTATAATACTAGATTACGCAATACGAATGATAATAATAATAGTCTCAGTGAATGTAATAAGATGATTAAAATGTTTTTTCACTGGTTGAAATCATGGGTCAATTGAAGCTAGAACACCATGGAAAACCTGGAAGCACTGGAAGGCCGCTTTGTCCTAGTATGGGACTCCTACCTGGCAGTGCGCATCCACAATCCCGTCCCCCACCAGATTCGAACTCAAGGCCTATCAGTATCGCGCCAAGCGCTTAACCAATTAGACCACTGAGCTGGCCGTCATCCAACTGTGTTAATGTCTAACTTCAACCAATGCACGAAGTTGCGCCACCGTACACCATTGCCTTCAGTGAGTTCCTATTTCACAACAGACCTGGTTGAATTCCACTGGTAACGGCTTCTCACTAGAACTCCAGGATTGTCTCCTGAAGTCAGTCACTACTGAGCAGGTGATTATTATTATCAGAATGTTTTCGTTACAATAAGTGAAGGTCATTAAAGGTCATAGAGGTGTAAAAATAAACAAGATGATACGATGAGCATTTGTGAATAAAATAATGAGAATGTAAGACATAAGTAAAGGGGGAATGAAGTAATAATAAGATTAATATTAACAATAATAATAATAATAATGCTAATAATAATATTGATTAAGGCCAATGTAATGATATCGATGGGACGTGCTTCTTCTGTACGCATAGATTTAGCTTGAGATGATAGATATTAAGATCTTCGGCTGTTTTTACGAGTTGAATACTAGGAAATCTAGGTAGATTTGAACGAATCGTATATACATCCTGATATGACAGGATGAAAAGTCAAAATTAGATCGATTTACTCATTATGAGTCTTGTTCAACATTACTTCCGTTTTTGATTCAATATAATGATTACTCAATGTAGTATTTGTTTCCTTTTCTCGTATGATATTTTATTCTGTATAATATACGATATTCTTGTATTCAATGGACATGAACTATGCTCACTATGTGATTTCATCTTAATTATTCATCAAAATGGGTGGACAATCAGTATATAAATGAGTGTATTTTCTACTAGAGTGGTAGTCGTCATAGTGTTTTGGGGTTAATAAATCATCACTTATACCAGTCTTTGTGTTCTTACTTTCGTGTCATGGGAATTGCAGAGGTCCTTCGTTTCGAGTATAAGTGATAAGCGTTTCCGACATAACAATCAGTGACGACCAGATATATAAAAAGTAGCATTCAACTGACAAGTTATAAAGCATCCTTAAAATCAAACTGGATCAGTAGAATGATTACAATAGATTAGGTGTTCAAGTATAGAACTTCTAACTGTTTTCCTCTCACCCTTGTAAAACCAATCTGGCACATGTTCCCGTATTCGAGTTTCTATTATTCGTGTTTACATTGCCTTACGGAATTAGTACTTTAACGGAAATATATATATATATATAATTTAATAACTGACTATGTAAATATACATTTAACATATAACATATAATTAAGCATCTATAATCCTTCTTAAGCTATTACTCGCTATATCAATTTCATTGATGTATCTTATATTAAGAATAATGTGTCAGTTATTAGTAATTCAGTGGGACAGTGATAACTTGGTCCTACTATATTGTTGAACAATTTGATTTTCAAAGTTAGCCTGGTAGAGAACAATTTCATTAAAATTGTAACAACACACTAAGATTGAATGGATACCGAACTGCCAGGAAATCCAGAATGATCTCCAATTATCAAACACTAACTCAATCAATTTACGACATTGAACGACTTCATAGAAGGAAAAAACTACAAGGTTGAGAGATTGAATTTAATCACAATCATCGACTAGACAACAATACATTAAGTCTTAATCTGGTGATTAGTCATTGTAATTCTTCATCTACTGGATGTAAAACTAAAGTTTTCCAAGGAGTAAATTGATGGTTTTTAAAAATGAACCATGTATAAAGAGGTACATCAAGAAAGTAACCTATTTCTTCTTGAATTAGATTACCAAAATATACCTGTAAATAAGATTTACAAAGTAAGTCAAAACTTGAAAATACTTATCTCATCAGGATATCACTAAACTTTAAAAATATTCCTATAAAAAGGAACTACTAATGAGTAGTTAAGTGTTATGAAACAAAATAATGCTAAATTTAACTTGGGTTATATTTTATGGTTTCAGTAGTCATTTCAACATTACATGTACATAGAAGAATATTGATTGGATTGGACGCATTTTTTATTCTTTCAAGATAACATACAGTTAGTACTTGATATTCTCCTTTGATTTTTTGAACATGTTCCAAAAAGCCTCAGAACAAGAGAAAGAAAGACTTTAAACAGTGCATCTCCTTGATACGAGAGACATCAGGTCGATACCTTGCAATCGTTCAAGGTGATTAGTAAGCAGCCAAACACCAGCCTTTTAAAGTTTGTTGGAGCCGTTGTTATCGAGTATCAAAAACCTGACTTATGTGTTCAAAAGGAGATGATTATTAGTCTTTCTTTGCCTTGATGACAAATATTCCTTCGCTACATCTTGATGATGTCACAGGTATTCAGTGTTTGACAACGCTTCTACCAGTAACACCTTCTAATATATTTCGTTCCCGCCCAGAGAAATCAAAAGACAGAGTCGAGGAGATCGGAAGAGTATATTTGGCGATGACCAATATATCGGAATTCTCTGATCTAATCTGGCTAGCGATTGCGGTTGATGTTGAGCACGGCGTTACCACACGTGATCTGGTGCGGATGCCTGACCGAGCGCCTTCAGCTAGGTGAGTCCACTAAAACATATGGTCAGCATCCAATGTCGAAGACTTAGTGCTATTTATTTTGGGGATTTATTTACCGCTACAATCTTAAAAATCTTTCTCTTTTTCTTTAAGCTCTTCCTCGCATTTATTACATCATTGAGTTTTATTCCAACTATCTTCCAAATTAATCTTATTTTATCAGCTGAGCTCTACTCGTTTTATTCCCATCAATGTTTACTTGTTACTAGCCGTTTGAACGGTTGTCACAATGTTCTTTTACATAAGGTATAATTTACAATATTCAGTCTATTAAATTTATTTACACCCTTGCTATACTATACGAATATGTCTTCAATATAACTTCCAACTAGACCTCTCATGTAAGTAATTTGAACCCATTATGTAATTATGATTTATAAATATCACAGATTGTAAGCAGCTGACGAGAACCAACGAAATAAAATGAATTCATGCTATTCTGCTAGAATTATGGTGTGAGCTATTTATATCCACATAAGTAGTATACAACGATGGTCAGAAATAGGATGCATTTCATCAGTACGAGAACGAGAAGGAAAGAACGAGAACGGAAAGCAATTGGTATGAAAATGCACGAGCAATGAATTCTGAGACGATGAATTGATATTTGTAAGAGGAAGAGTCAAGTTTGAGACAATTGATTGATATTTACCGTATGATTCTCAGATTTTAGTTAGATGTTCTGTAATTTTGTGTTTAAATACTATCGACTGCCCCCACTCGTGTTCTTGTTCAGTACCGAGTCTTTGTTGTTGCTCTTTTTATTTGATTTTAATTTGGATATAAAGTTCTTAAAGTTTGTTCATATGGATTTATCAGTATAGTGGTTGTGGAAGTTAATAAGTTTTTGATTGAGATCTTGAATCGATTGATGTTAGACCACTATTGAACACCTGGAAGCAGTGAACGACCGTTTCGTTCTATTGTGGGACTCTTTGGTAGTGCGCATCCACGATCCCATCTCCCTGGATTCGAACACAGGGCCTTCAGTCTTGAGCGCGAACGTTTAGCCTATTGGACCACTGAGCTGGCCGGCATCTAACAGTGTTAATGCCTAACCTTAACCAATCCACGAGATTGCGCGACCATCTTACATTGTACCATCTGCTTACTAGTGACTAGTTTCGTGAGGGATTTCTGAGAGTTCTAGTGAGAAGCCGTGACCAGTGGAGCTAATGCTCGCGCAATTTCGTGAACTGGTTGAGGTTAGACATTAACATTATTAGATGCCGGCCAGCTCAGTGGTCCAGTAGGTTATGGGTTTGCGCGCTGGATTAAAAACCTTGTATTCGAACCCCGCGAGGTGGGATCGTGGATGCACACTGCCAAGGAGGAGTCCTACAATAGAACGAAACGGCTGTTCACCGCTTCCAGGTTTTCGATGGTGATCTAACATCAGTCGCTTCATACGGACTTAATTTATACATTAATTAAACTTATATCATTGAATAAAATCTTAAGTAATATGCATTCTAACTTTACTAAGGCAAATAATATAGATTTACTTTAATAATCCGTTGAATTTTTGATTGGAAAATTGATGAAATATATAAGTAGTATATATTTATATATTAAAATATTTTATCATATTTAGTCTGGTAAATGACTTTGATTAACTTTCGACAGTTTTTTTGTAATGATTTA